AACGAGAGTATAGGCTTTGTTTAACTTTGAAGCCATTGCTATTTGAAGACAAATGATTGCATTGATATTGAAATTTATTGGTTTGCTTTAAGTGTTAAAGGCTTTTGTCGTAAACGGAGAGAACCGTCTTAACAGAGTGAGGAAATTTAAATTAGTACTAATTTTCTTATGTGGTTTCGGTTCGTATGAGAAAAACGCTTATTGAGGAGCGCTCGTTTTAGTAGACAGACATAACTTTGTCGTGGTAAAACGGAATTCTTGTTTGAAAACTGAATGGTTGTAGATCATGTAGATGTATGAGCGTTTATTTCTGTACTATAAAAAAATCACAAAAAACTGTATTTAGTGTTATGTCATACACTCCATTTAATATCTGCAATTAAAAGGTTAAAAGCATATCTTATGGCTTTTGATTGAACGCAAATTCCTTTAAATTGATACCTTGCCGTATCCTTGCTTAGCTTTCCTATGGATGACGTCGTCCTTAAAGAAGAATTGTCAAAAAGTCAGGTGTTTTTCTCTTAAGCGGTAATTATTATCTTGACCAAGGGGCATCAATCAATCAGACACCCACGCCAACTCCTACTACTGAGCTCGTGATAGAAAGGTTAATCATAAATCAAACTACTGTTTTACGATTCATTAAGTTTACTTGTAGTCAACAACTATTCACCGGAGTGGAGTTGGTTTGTGATGGATATATCCACCGCTAACCATCGACACTGAGGCGAATAGTTTAGTATATACTAAAACAGTGAGATAATATACACCACCAAAAATTGATTTTAATTCATACATTCCAGCAATGATTCCAGCATTTCCCGCGCGGAAAGGACTGAAACAACAAGCCGCGCAAAAAGTCACATGTTACATCAGGTGATCAAAAGAGCGAGAAATGTACATCGTGAGAGCTACGCTTTGCTCAAGCAAAGTGAAAATTATTGCTTCTTGCATGTTCGGCTAGTTCTGTTCCTTCAAGTTTTATTTTCTGCCGCTATCTCCAAAGCTCAAATTGAAATTAAAACAGCATATTATCAAGTGTGTTGTGGCCAAGTGGAGTTGAGTAGTACCACCCAGCATCTCTTGCTGGGTTTAACGATTTGCACGGGCTTCGTGTTTTCTGTAATGAACTGCTGCACTCGGGATTCAGACGTGACAGGTATTTCTCGATGATAACGTGCTTAATAATATGGAAGTTCGTCCTTTACATTACACAAAAGTCGAAAATTTAACAAAATTATTGCTTGATTCTCTGTCACGCCAACTAAATTTTAAAAAGAAAAACACAGAAAAAATCTCGAGGCCGATAACTTTAAATGCTGTAGAATACAAATGAATCAACCTTCCCAAGTCTTATCGCAAGCCAGTGTTTCTTTGTTTTCAGTTAAGTTATACGCTAAAGTATCGGACAGAACTTTAAAGGGCTCAGACAGGGCACACTATTTATTTGTTCCCTTCATAAACCATAAATCAAATGAAAGCAAACAACTTTTCCTTTTTTCGCCACTGACCGTATGGTAATTACTCATCCCAAACTCACGATGAAAAAGACACGATGAAAAAGGTTTCAGTTTTCCACACTCAGATCCGTCATCAATAACTAAAGTTTGACGTACAAAACCGAATTACATCTGCTGAGATGGAGGAACCAAAGAATTGGAAAACTTTCTTAACATTGATCTTTACTAACCTTTCTGCTTGTGATCGAAAAAAAAACATATTTTTTATTCATCCCTCCGTTTTACTTGAATTCCATTTTTCCGACACCCAATCCAAGACTCATTCTACGGTTGACTCGAAAGTATAACATGTGACGGTTGATATTGAAGAGGTCGGATTAGAATGTAGCTGGAAAAGAATTAATTTTGATGGGAGCTGATAGTATCCAGTTTAACATGTCGAATTCACTTCTGACTCTGAGTGGAATTAATAATGTTAGAAAGACCTCGCTGTTAGAGATTTTCATTTCATTTATGGATGTATTTTTCTCAGCTCTTATCACAGATGTCATATATAACTGTAATAATTAACGACCATAACAGGATTGAGATATGCAGCTCGTTTGGTACGCCAGAACGTGCTGAACTGAATTGATTTACATATTATATTTTAAGGTAACAGCAGCTAAGAACTTAACAACAGTACTCACCATGACCTTTTTCCTCCAGTTTGGATATATCGTGATACATGAATGAAATGAGCGGAGGCTGCGAAAAGATAGTGTTTGTCTCTG